TAATGAGTCATAAACATTACATGATTTAACCACTAGAGGGCAGCAGTTTTAAATCATTTAATGAGTCATAAACATTACATGATTTAACCACTAAGATGAAAATAAAGCGACACCGAGCGACGAAACATCCAACGCTCGTGGGAAAGCCTGTTGGGCTTCTTGTTGTGTATGCAGGTTTACATACACATGATAAATAAATGTCTTTGTGATCATTACATTGTATCATCTCATGTATTTGACAAGGGTTTTGCCTGTTCAACTCCGCGAGGACACCGGCGTCCTCGATCCCCTCCCCTTCCGTTCCGTTCCTACGGCTTGCTTCCGCAAACTACGTCACAAAAAATGGCCGTGTTTGGTATCCCAGCATGCCCAAAATCCTCATCTTTGCAAAGAAATCATCGATTTTCTTTAATTCTTTTTGGATTTTTCACAGAAGGAGCCCAAACACACACTGTCCAAAGTCGCCATAACCGCTGCAAGTCGGATCTTGCAGTATTTCGACGGAAAAAGACACATTACAGACCCAACAATGTGCTAGCGGATGTTACCATGGGGCTAGTAGCTTCAGAAAACACTAGTACTTAAAGTACAAACCTTATGCTCATTTTCTATGATCCTTCAACCATCGTATAACCTTGCGTAACTGAGCTACCCTCATACTCGATCGTGCGCTCAGTCGCAGCCATTACGCACAGTAAGTCCGCCAATTACATACCATGTATATATATATAGCATTTGCAAAGGCTAAAAGGAAAATAATGTAATATCAAAATATAAAGGGAGAAACACCTTTAGTGTGTCAGAATATCATTTGGTTACCATGTGTCCATTTGGGTCTCCAAATATCCTTTTAGAGCTCCGCCTGGATCTCTTCATGGAAGAAACACTGTAGAATCGTCATACTTTGTCCAATCTTCTTCAAATTTGAGGCAGTTGTTCACTGATAGTGTAGTTACAGCCCTATACTGTCCTTTACCTGTACAGATACAGCCACAGGCAGTTATTTATACTGAAAGATACTTTTTTTATTTTATGCGGACAAAAATCTTCAATTTTTACTGACTCCAAAGGCCCACTGCTCTGTTTCTATATGACCTACAGGTTTTCTGACACTTTTGATGCATATAGTCACAGTGGTTCAGAAGCTACAGCCATTTTAATTTGGGTATGTCATTTTAGGCGGTTTTGCTCCAAAATAGGGGTGGAGTTGAACAGGTAACAATATAGTTATTGAATACAAATCAAACCAAGAGTGAGATCAATTAGTTAAACTAATAGTGTTAATATTTGAATGGGCCCCGGGACACTTTGTACTTGAAAAGTTGGGCCCCGAGGTCAAAAAGGTTAAGAACCCCTGCTGTATGGGATGCTGGACGGACACACACCATTTGGCCATTAAATGGCCAATGCACCCACAGTGAACTATTGTGTCTGTGTATATGATTATCAATTACATTTATTTGAGGTCCTGAAGGGTTTAAAGCTCGCCAGACTCCATTCGATTTTCGTCTCTTTTAGAAAATTTCTCTGGATAGTTTGCCGTGTCGTAGTTCATTTACACAGTTAATAGACATTTGGGGAGATCCAAAGTTTGTTTTTGGAGAAAATATCCGATATCACCAAGAGAAAAGCTACAATGAATATATTGTTGTACTACCGAAACAGCACAAAAACAGATTGTTTCAATATTATTTCCAACAGCACCATGTTCCAAGTCAACAGACACCAATCTGTTCCTAAAAAACTCACGGATCACAGCTATGGTCAATTCCAGATTGTCTGAAGTTGTTGTGGATGTGTCTGTCCAAGTGCCGACAAAGCTCTTCACAGATATACAATGCGTGGCCAAGGTGGCATATCTGGATGCTCTATTTCACACACTAAATGATTTTAACTCGTCACTGCAGGGGAATATGGTCACAAAGAAGCTGAGTTGGTTTCATGGAAAAAACAGAAGGTCTCCGAGATGAGTTTGACAGTTATTTCACTGCAGACAATAACCATAAACTGAATTAAGAAATTACTCTAAATAGACAATCAGGTGACTCAGCTGGAGGAGCCTAGTTTTTTCTCGAAGCTATAAAAAGGAAATGATGTCACCAGAGTGTCACAGCCCGCCCTGCCGACATCTTGGGAAGACTCTCATAACTGAACCGGCTGACAATTAGCTTAATCCTCAGGTTGTTATTTAAGTGCAGGGATTAACTTGTAAAAGCATGCTATATATGAGCAGAGAAATGAATGGGACACGGTTCACATGAGTTTAGTTTATGAGCATGTAACAAGAGTATTCATCAATATAAACAAGGTATGGCACACGTCGTGAGAGTCAACAAGACAGATCAGTCAAGAAAGAGTGAGGAAGATGAGAAGAGGGGGAGGGGCCAAACACTCTCTTAATCCAGAATGATCCAGTGAGTCAACCTTAGTCCACAATAATCTACCAGTATCTCACTGTCTGGGGCACGGAGGGAATGTAAACACAGTCAGAGGAGTCCAAAACCAGCTGCTGGATCCTTTAGTCTTGTGTAAACACCAAAACTTAATTTTTTCTTCTTCTTTTGCCTCGACTGGATTATTTCCATTATTATCATAAGAACTGGGACAACAGCGACACATGGCGCTCCTGAGGTCAGGCTGGCTGTGGAGACAAAGTGAGTAGAGACCGGATTATTCAAACCATATGTGTTATTAAAGGAAGGATGATAACTTTGGCTTTTATAATAAGTGCACAATTCCAATACCTATATTATAAGCCATTTCTGCCAACAGATCCCCTTAAATGCTACACACAGTACGTATAAGTGAAAACTGTACCTGTTATGAAACTACAACTTTCGTTACTTCTAAAATTGATCATAGCACCGACTCAACAATTACTTGACCATCAATTTCAGCTCAATAAATGGTCAATTTCTTAATTTTGACTAATCCTACCCCTTCCAGCATAAACACCGATGGTCCACTTACTGTGACGTGTGTCTCCCCTCTAGCTTCTGTCTTAAAACGCTGGAAGCTGAACTGGTGTGACCTTTGGATAGACGGGAGTCTTTGCTTCTATAAGACTGACAGCAGGCGAGAGCTGGAGCACCGCGTCAGCCTCAAGACAGCATGCGTGGACGTGAGGTCGGGCCTGGAGTGTCGAGGTAAAGCGAGCTGCCTTTAGCCTTTTCGGCAAGTCCATCTTTAAAAATAAATAAAATAAATCCACAATACACGTCAAAAGTGCTTAATTTACTACTTTTGCAAAGTTAGCATTATTATTATTTAAACATACGCCAAACTTTACACTTTTATTCCTATCCATATTTTGAAAGGGTTCAGCTCGTTAGCAGACAGACGGGTTTATTTAAGATGAACTCATATTATAAATGTCAAGAGTCTGATCGGTAGGTGTACTGATAATGCTATGGTGCTTTTGAAGTTCCTCATAGAGGAGGATCTACACTAAGAGACACTACAAAGTAATTCAAAATGTCCTCATGTAATTTCAGGCCTTCATCCGATTGCACAGTGTAGTCCCAAATATTCATCGTTGTTTACACTACTAGCGCTAAACCGGAAGAACAAATACAAAAATACAACTGCGTTTGATCCAGAAGTGAAAAATAGGCGAGGCAGCAGAAGTTTAATGTACTGCAGACAACAAGTATTTAGTATGGAACTAGAACACCGGTTTTGTTTGAGGATTGCTCTGCAGGGGCATTCAGCAGCCGAGGAGTACGAGAGCATTTCACAGAACCAGATGCCCCGTATCAGCGCAAACACAGATCTTTCATGCAAGGATAACAATAGGACCAGCTTAAGAAAAATATTAAATATTATTCACAAAAAGAAGAGCAAACCAAATGTCTTTCGTGGTGTAGATATCAAATCCATGCAGACGTCCCTAAAGCTTTATATGGACCTCCAGTACCAGTGTGAAAACATGACAACATGACTAAAGCTGTTCTTAAGGCTTACAAATGGCTCTACTCTTTAAAGAGTCTTGATATCATGTACTTTGTTTCATCTAGTCATAAAGTACTGACAATATAAACACTACAATCAGTTTGAGTATCAGCAGACTACTAGTTTGTAAATCTTATAAAAAGGTCATGTGTTTCACTGATTTAATTGAATCAGGTACATAGTCGATGTCTTCCAAAATGCACTATTTAATTGTACCCAACTACACTTAATGTATGATCTTCCATCTTTCTTTGAGGTTTTGACTGACAGAAGCCATGATGACAACATGCTCATGTTTGGGTGAATCTCTTCTTTAACTGCAGGTGTGAGTCCACCGGAGAGCAATCCCAGGGAGAATCTCATCGTGGTTCAGCTCACAAGCGGCTCAACAGTCAACCTGTGTGCTAACAGCGAGGATGAATCCATGTAGGTCCTCTCACTTCACTCTCGTCTTGTCTGCTCTGCCTCCCTTTACCAGTAGTGGCATGCAACTGAGTACATTTACTCAAGTACTAGGCCTACTTAAGTACACATTTGAGGTACTTGAGGTATTTTTTATTTTATTTAACCTTTATTTAGTCAACATGGTCCCATTGAGATTTAAAATCTCTTTTCCAAGGGGTTCCTGACAGACTTACTTTACTTTAGTGTGTATTCCTATAACTTAAATTGTATAGGCCTACTGACACTTAAATGTAAGCGGTATTGACGCTACAGAGCTGTCCGCCATTGTCTTTTATAGTACCCCTGTCGTCACAACCGCATTGCATTGTTGGAAATGAAAGCCGGTCTGGTGTCAACGGAAAATATATTACTGCACAATGTGTACTTTTACTTTTCACATTTTGCTGATAATACTTACATAATTTTACTTAAGTAAGGTTTTGAATGCAGACCTTTTACTTGTAGTTCTTTTCACAGTTCTTTTCCTTAAGAAATGATGAATACTTCCTCCACCACAGCCCTTTACAACCATCAGTGCTTCTTTCCTGTTCATGTCTTTTTCAGAGCGTGGAAACTGACTCTGCTAGACACCAGGAGAAACCCGGTGAGTGATCCATCGTTCTCCGTCAGAGCTGAGACATAATTCACTCAGTGATGTTTGCTAATGGTTTTCTGCCTGTAGGTGTTCACATACGACCCATATGACGACTTCTACCAAGCCGTCCCCATCAACAGCTACCATACTGTCTACATCACACCTGGAGCAGGACCAGGTATTTCACCATAATGATGCAGGACACACAAAAACTAACTCTAAACTGCCCTCGACTTAGCAACCATAGACTCAACTTATTTCATTTTGACTACTTTTAGGCCACCAAATACAGTGAAATGATTTCTCTTTGTCTTTTCTCTAAGGAACCCACCAGGTGGTTGTTCAGAGGGACCCATTTGATGGAGTCTTCGAGCATCTGGCTCTGGGATTGCTGGCAGGCATGGCAGCAGGGACAGCCATGCGATCCTTCCTCTGGATGCCCTTCTTTTTCTGCTGAGATCATCTCCATCACTGACATGACGACACTGCGCAGCGACTGGGAGCCAAACATCAGCACGAGTAGGAAGCCCCCGAAGATGGAGTGATCATGTCTGCTGTAACAAGCTGCTTTTTCTGGTTGATCTGTTTTTCTTATGTGCACTTTTGCATATACGGCTTAAGAAGATGAAGAGGACGCTACGTAATTTAATGTTCTCCCTGCTTGTACATCAAACTGAATCTAGCATTTGCACAAGCCAGGAAGTCGATTTTGTATCCAACTCTTCTTTAATCTGCTGCATGGATTTTACACTAAAAAGCTTGACGAAACTGTAGTGGGAAATAAATTGATGTATTCAAATATAATTATGAATGGTGATCTAAAATCAGTTTGGTTGCATACAACTAACAAGCCATCAATTGTTGAACTGCATTGCTCTAGTTTGATAAAACAATCCAATCTCAGGGTCGACCAATTAGCTCTTTCCCCCCCGAGCTTTCAACCACATCACACGTTTTTCATCAGCTGATCTGTTGGATCTGTTGACACAAAGGGTCTGTAATTCACATACTAATGATGATGGAATCACCTCATCAGACAGAGTGAAGACATGAAAATTGAATCTCCACAATTTTGAAAATCGTTGAAAAATACGGAATTTTTCTGTGGAAGCAGTTTGACATGTTTTTCAAGTTCAGTCTGAACTCACAATGAACAAATGCTCATTAAGACTGAGCAACGTAAAAGCCTGCATTCAGACACATCCACACTGCAAGAAAACTGACTTAGTCCCACATATGAAAGTGGCCCAAATCAGAATGAAAAAGATCAGATTCCATGGGATTTGTGCTGTTCACACAAAATTCAGAATTTGGCCACTTTTACCTGCAGTCTGCTCTATTTATTGGACTGTCAAAGAATGTAGCGACCCCAACAGCCTGGCCTCCTAAAAATTGTTTTTCCCATATTATAAAAAGGCTGAGTAAATTTGGAGGGGAACATTTCTTTCTCCGGACCCAGGTTCGATCCCAGGTTGGGCGGCCCCTGTGTGTGTGGAGCTACACTCCAAAGACATGCAGCTTTGGTTAATGGATGACTCTAAATTGCCCGTAGGTGTGAATGTGAGAGTGAATGGTTGTCTGTCTCTATGTGTCGGCCCTGCGATGAGCCCTCCCCCCCCGCGGCTCTGAATAGGATAAGCTGTTTGAATAATGGATGGATGGATGGATATGTTCTCCCGGATTACGTTTGTTTTTGACATATCACAAATACAGTTAATCAAAGTCTGCCAAAACTTCTAAAAACAAATGTAACAAAAAACAACAACATAGATATTCATGTACAGAATTGTTATTTATTAAAATAATGGTATCTTATACCACATCAGCCTTCTGTCACCGATGCTCGATCCAGCTCTTTGATTCAGTATCGGACCGATATCAGATATCGGTATTGGTGCATCTCTAATATGCACTAATGTAGAAATGTTGATATGAAACAGATTTTGGTTCAGAAATGTAAAATGCCAACATTTTATTCTGTGTTGATATCAAAGCCTGCCTCTAATGATAAGAACCCAGGGGGGAAACATCTCACATGTATCCACTAGTGTTTAAAATCTCACAACAGCATATTTGGCAAATACAAGAACTGAAATGATGCTGCGATTTGTTTCCCAGCTGAGTATGGGTGTAGCACATTGTCTTTATAAAAATATTGATCACTTTCAGCATTTAAATGGAACCTCCCCTTCTGTTACTCCTCTTTAAATGTGACTCTTCTCTGAGCGTCTCCATTCACTTGCCCTATAGCCTTCACTCTGCAGTCTCCTAACTTTCCGTCCGCTTGGAGTTTCCGGATCAGATCATGGGGACCCTTCCCCATCAGAGCCGACGGGTGCCTGTAGGAGCCTCCCAGGCGGTCCCACAGAGTGAAGTACTGGCCGTAGTTGTAGTCGAAGAAGAGGTGGTGGTCAGTGTGGTGAGCCGAGCCGTTAATGGCGCTCGTCAGAACGTTGGGGACGCGGTAGTCACCGTCGTGGATAGAGATGGTCCAGATGTTGACGAAAACGTACAGGGCCAAGTAGAGCACCTTGTGGAGGGGGAAGAGGAAGGGGTAGATGTGGTATGGGAGTCCCTGCATGAAGCCGTCTACTGGATGAAAGGCGTGGCTCGCGAAGGGAGAGGGGATCTTCCACAAGTGGTGTGGTTTGTGAAACAGCTGTCGGGGAGAAGAAGGCAAAGAGGTCAGAGAGAGAGAAAGTAACTGCTTTCTCTAAAAAACATTTTATATAATATCCTTTTATATATGGTTATTATAAAAACATGTGAAGACACTACAGAAGATATGAATAATGGAGATAAGAAGAGATGCAGTGAATGTGGTTACTATACTGTTGTATAACTTTGGTTAGGGGCTAAATGACAAAATAATAATTCATACCTGCTGTCCTGCTCTTTATTTGTGTTGTGTTGGCAATACATCTTATACAACATTAGACCTCCCAAATCCCAAATAAATCAAGTAATGTACATGTCTTTGTCTGTAAAGGCCTTTTCTGGAGATCAAAATGATATATACATATACACACACATACAAAATAACATTCAATAAAACATGAAATATGTCTTTATTTGGTCTAAGTATAACGATGCACCTTTTGGCTGGGCCTATATTATCTGCTGATGTTATTTGGTGAATATATCTGCCACTAAATAACAAGAAGTTGCCAAACAGAGATGAAACCTGGACAAATAAAGAAACCCTCCCCCTCCCACAATTGTACTCACCTTGTAAATACTCTTATGATGTAGGAAGCGATGAATCCAGTAGATACACATGTCAGTGAAAAGCAGGAAGGAGATCATACTCAGGAAGAGCCCCGGCCAACCTGAAAGCACACAGACCACGTCACCACACTTGGTACGTCCTTGTAAACAACAAGATAACAGAACAACTGAAAGCTGGTGAGGTCGTTCTTCAACTCACCCAGCGGAGATTCATCGACAGTGTCGTACAGTTTGCTGTATCCTCTGACTTCAGCGAAAAACAAGGCCACTGTGGGGATGCTGATCAAGGGAAGAGAAGTCATCGCATATTTGATCTCCCTCTGAACCTGATTCTAAGTAGGATAAAAAAAAATACAAAATGGATTTGGCAAAAAGGATAAATAGCGGTAGTACCGGCAGAGCAGCAAGGCATTCTGCTCCAGTCTGGAGGAGTGGCCTCCCGCTGCCGGGAGCGAAGCCCTCCACCTCCCGCCGGAGCTCCGACTGCAGGTCAGAACCAGATCTGGGTCTGTGCGCGGTCGGCTGGATGCATCATATTGTCTGATTTCCAACTGATCCCATGACAGGCATTAAGAATAACTACTGTATATAGAAATAGCCAATATTCTCACTGATGATCTTGTTTGCTTATGAAAGTCATTTAAAAGGCAGCAGTATTAATTTGAGACACAAAAAGTGCTGGGGTGTATCTTCACGCCAACACAAATCATGTTTATTTGGCAATAATGTCAGAGTTTAGCAGTGCTATCACGCAGATCATAAAATGAAGATATAGGCTTAAGTTCATACCTCTAGGAATTGTGGATGTTTCATTAGACTGTGGTCAAAGACGAGGAAGTAGTTGATGACTCCCAGGCCCAGGTAGAGGACTGCAGCCCCGAGGTTGGTCAGCACCAACAGGCTGATAATCTGCCGCAGGGCCCCGCCCTCAGGCCACGATGCAGGGTACACATACGGGGACAGGACGTAATAGTCGGCAACGTCCAGCACAAGATCCATGGTCGAATCTGTGAAGTATGGAGAGAGCACACGTTATAAAAAAGATGCCAAGAGCACTGCGTTTCCCAGAAGCCCCATTGTTTGTGGTCATCTCTTGTGTGAACCTTTTGAGACATGTTTATGGAAAAACTTTGTGTGTTTATTTATGCATGGTTTAAAACACACCACAATATGTATTAGGTTGCAAGTGTTTAATAAGTGTTACTTGTCAACTACAGCCTTTCAGGTATTCATAACAGGTGTAAAATTGATATTAAATGATTGACAGCATAATATTACACAGTTACTAAATGTTAGAAAAGTCTTCAACTAAAAAAAAAACTCCTTCTGCTGATGAAAGTCATAATATGAGGCTGAAAGCTCTAAAGGAAATGTAATAAGTGGACATTGAGGTTAGACTTAAAAAAAGGTACATGTTTTAATTAGAATTAAACACATTTATAAACTGTTTCAAACCGCCTGTTAACGTTTTATCTGACAATGTAATAAAAAAAACAATTAATAAATAAAAAAATATAGATTTTTAGCAAACTACAATGCATGCAGATAATAAATCATTAACATTGCGAACGAGTGTTATGAATGAACACTTATGTTATTGTCTTGATCGACTCTGACTGGACTCCTGGATTTGTCTCTCTGATCCCTGATGTGTCCAGATCCTGAATCCACCACTTTACAACGGATGTAATTTCTGCATAAACACTAAGCCACATGAACCACAGAGTGACACGAACTCATATAAATAAATATATAATAACCATTCGTGTACGTTACGTTCATTCTGTAATCAAGATGTCACATTTATACAACTTCCTGACCGACCGTTACGTGTGACAACTTCACCGAAAGCTAAACATTACTACCCTGATAAATGCAACACAAAACGTCCCATTACACGGTGGTGTTAGCAGATAAACTCCACTGTCAGATTGTTAATATAACGTTATATATGTAATTTAAAAGAGTCGGCTTCTGTACCTGTAGGTTGCTGGTGTTCCGGTACAAAAGTGGTGGGATGCCTGCAGAAATAAAAAGGTGAGCGAGCGACCAATCCGCGCTGCTCGACTCTGTGCGTCATACAAAGGGCACCCAATGAGCGCGTAGTTCCTCATCACGGCAGGGTTGTTATCATTTCCGATTGGCCAATTGGAGGATCTGCTCATGGTGTTACAGAAGCAGGTCTACTGCCACTTAAAGGTCCTCCCGCAACTGGTGCAGGGGCAGAAACGCCCCCAGACTATAATACTAACTTCATATATGCTTTATTAATACAGCAAGCTTTTTATTAAAAACATTCACATTCTGCAGTGGGACCGGCTACAACCAGGCACAGATGCACTCCATTCTCTCTTGTGACAAATCTTCCTTTACAAACGTATGAATTTAACGTTGTCTCATTTTTACCCAAATGTGTTCAACTTAGATGAGACAACTCCTCAGGCCACAGTACGCTTTGGGAGCCATTCTTTAATTCGGCACCTTCCAATAAACCCTATATATATATATATATACACATATATTTTAGCATTGGCCCTGGTGTTACTTACATTCTCAATTAGCTTTATGCAACTTGTAAGCAGGGCGACGTCATGTTTTATTATAACTTCTTATTCAAACACGAAGACGCTGAATTGCGCTTCTTGATCGGAGAAGCGTTCAATTAATTTCTGAAAATTTTAGGGAAAACAAGCACGGATTAATTATTGTTGCAAGATATTTCAATGAAGTTTAGGCTACAGGTAAACCACTAGAATTTGCACGGACACAGACACAGCACGGTACATCATTTTAAAGTGCAGTACTGTGATTTTCATCTACAAAATGAATTGCTTCCATTCTGCTGTGAAACGGACACCCATCCTGACACAAGGTGTCGCCAGTGCTCTAAGATACGAGAGGGAGTAACCTTAGCCATAGATACACTGTACTGTATAATAGTTGTCCACTGTGCCATACATGAATATTAAACGTGATACCACTGGAGATTAGCTAATTAAAAACTTACATTAATTCTACATTAGACACACTATAATCTCCTATATTAGGCAACAGTAATGCTCAGGATTTTTATCAGCAGAGGAAAGGTTATGGCCCCCCATAAACCCCACACTTTTTATTTCCATAAGTATTATAAATTTGATTTGATGATGATATATCAGCTCTGTTCCAATGCCAGGATGATGATTCGTTCATAGCCAGAATGAACTCTTCGTTTTGCCCTCAGGGCAACTGTCTGTTTTATGTTGAACCACCATCAGAAGCTTTTAAATTATTTGTTCATATTACCACAGGGGAGGGACTGCCAAACATTTGAAATAAAACTCCACCCTACGCAGTTAGATCGCCCTCAATCTCGAATCTCACCTTGAAGAAATGATCCAACATTTAAATCAACAGTAGATTCAACTTTTGTCTCAGTGCAACCATTCTTACAACATATTATTGGCCGCCAGACTATCGCAGGGCTGACGCGCATTGACAGACAACTAATCACGCTCACATGTTTCTGTGCTGCCCTTTAATAAGCATCAAGCTCTTCTCCGCGGCTCCACTTATGGTGATGTAAGGACAGCAGATGGCCACACTTCGGTTTATCGATACAAAGTTGTAGGCTGTCTTGTATCATAAATATGACTTCCTCAGTTCCCGCATATAAAGAATAAATAGCTGCATTGATAGTGCGCTTTTATCCAAAGGGCTTTACGATATTCTTCTCGTTAACCCATTCACACACACACACACTCACACACAGACAGCAGCAAGCTACCATGCAAGGTGCTGCCAAACCATCCGAGGCAATTTGGGCTTCAGTGTCTTTCCCAAGTGTCTTTGGTATGTGGGTAGGAGGAGCCGGGCGATTGAACTTCCCACCCTTATTAATTGTCAATTATTAAATACGAGAAGTTCATCAATGATTCATATTAAGGCAGCCCTGTCTCCTAAAACTTAAGGCTTCCCTCGAACCGTAATTGAGAGTGCAGAGTAGTTTGTATGGGAATGTAATTTTGTAGGAGACAGGGTTAATTAGAGGAAATGTATAAGGCAAAAATAGTAAGCGTTTTAAACACTTTCACTCATTTTACAGATAAGCATCACCTGCTTTGGCTGATTATACAAACATTGTATTCACACACTGAATGCAGCAGTTGTTATTCTATATGTAAAACAAAACTTTTAACAGAGCATTCGTTTGAGGAAACTTGACTCACACTGTCTCTATACTTTAGAAGAAAGTTGGTGTTTCGAGTAGAGCTTGAACTGTCTAACAGGCTGTGAAGGCATCTTCTTCTCAGTGTGCAGACACACACCAACCAATCAGGATATCTGCAGCGAGGCAACCCTCATGCTGAGCTCAAGATAACCTGCTGCTCATCATCTCCTCAGTAGGCAACAACATTGGATGTGTCACTTTGGGAAATGTAATCAAAAAGTGGAGAAACTTGTCACAACTGGAGACACAGTGACTGCTCAACTTTTGACACCATCAACAATTTGATTATCTTGTCACTGGGTTGATGGGACTAAGATGGATTTGATCTTTATGACAATTATATATATATATATATATATATATATATATATAAAATGCAGCACATTCTCACTCCCAACTCGTCAAATTAATTTGATTAGTAGCCCGACACTTCAAACCAGGACGCTCCAGGTACCCCTCTAGCGTCAGTTTTGGATGTGTCAGAGCTGGTGTGTCATTTTCCACTTTTCCAAAAAAAAAACAATTCGGTCTTCATTGGAAGTTAGGTTTAGGCAACAAAACTACTTAGTTAGGTTTAAGAAAAGAGTGTTTGACGTTAACTTGACGTGACGACCAAATGACTAGCGAACCTAGTGACTAACGACACTAACGACTCACGTGACAAAGTTTACTTTTCGTTTTGCGCTTGACACAAGCAGCGTCTCCTGGCTGAAAGTCTTGTATCTGTTTGTCTATCCACCACCAGGCCCACATGCCCTGTGTGGACTTTCTCGCTCTTTATACCACATCAGCCGCTCTGAGCGTCTAATAATGACCCGGGTGAGTTTACATTGGAGTTAGTTGAAAGTGCGTTGCGACCGTATCAGACGGTGAGGGGCAATGACCCTATTAGGTATTAGATGAGTAGTTACCTCAAAATAAATTGACTCTGTTAAACTGCTGGTTTGTTTACAACCTCTCTGATTGTCCTTCTGCTCATCTCGCCCCATGGACGTTTTTTGCAGTGATGTCATCTTGTTCCCAGAGCTTTGCAATTACATTACAGTGTTATCACAACCGGTAGAAATGACGGCCAAGTTCCGAAAAATAAGACTGTAAATAATAAACAGAAATTACTTACATTTTACCTTGAAAGATTAATCAAGCACACTTTTTCAGCAGCTCCCAGCTTTATATTGATAGTGTCTGATGTGCACATTGACTTCCACATATTTCATATTGACACATTAGAGTGCTTTGTCAGCAGCACCACTGAGTATGAGATCCAGGCCAACTCGCACACATCACACCGCTCACCGTTCAGACCTGCCACACAAGAATTGCAAACAACATAATCCTGTGTTCGTTGACAAAATTGTGTCCGGATTCGTGTTCATCCTGGGCAAAAGATCGTCCGAATCACAGTATCCTGCATATGAAGCCAGCCAGCCATGAGAACCACTTCACCTCCTCTTTGGGTTTGGATGGTGCAGCCCACAGCTGCTGTTGTTTAGTCAGTTTGGGGATGGGGCTGCATCTGCTCATAAATAACACAGTCTCATAAAATTTCATGAAATGAGAATTAACTCTGAAATGAGATTGTGTTGTATGAATACTGCAAACATATTTTTCCTCTACCATGAATGGATTCATGTGACAAAAAGCACCAATTAGAGGGCCATTTTCTGTTGTCAGATGTTCAGGTAGAAGCTTACAATAGTACATTTTAGGTACATTCTTTGGTTCAAAGATGAATTCTTTAGCAATTTTTGTCAACTAGAGGACCCAAGATTATCAAATCAACATTACCAAACCCAGAGCAAGTATTTTGTCAAAGCCATGCTCAGCCTGATGGAATACTGTATATCAGGCTCTTTGGCTTGCTAGGTGACTACTCATTTTCTGGTCAGAAAACACTTTCCCTTCACACTTCAAACATGTTCAGTATTTTTGCACATATTTGCAGGTGGTCATTTCACAATATTTTAGACTGAAGACTTAATATATCACTTTGTACATGGCTCTGAACAAGCGATGTGGTGAGTCACATCACTTGGAGAGTGAGAATCAAGTCTTAGATCTACTGACTTTGAACTTTTGACGGTTGGTCAAAAAAACACAGGACATTCACCCGCTAAACTGCTATGAGTGTGCTGTGTGAAACCAAGTCAATATTGACTTATTTTACCTTACTTTTGTTATGCAAGCAGTTAACTAATGTCACCTACGTACGTTGCGTAACAAACATAGTTATTTTACGTTACAAATTATCATTTGTTATTTTATCCCAAACCAAGATCTTTTCCTTAACCTAACTAAGTTGTTTTGTTGCCTAAACCTAACTTCTTGTGAATATGTTAGTTTATTTTGAAAAGTCACTATTCATGTAATGAGTGGAACCTGACACGCAGTCCCTAACATGTCCAAAACGGACGCTAGAAGACAATGTGTAGATTGCTTGTGTTAATGGAAATTGTAGGAAATGCAAATGGAAACAGTAATACTAGTTACTGTTCAGGATTTTTTGTATACAACAAAAATGGATGGAGTTTTAACCATGTGTGTAAAAAATAACACAAAATAGTGTATTTATCCAAAGAGATATTTGTTTATGATCTTTTAATGAAGTCAAGGTGTGTCGGGAGGGATTCAAACACTAAACTAAACCTAAAAACGAGTCCACTTGAAGGCGTCATAAGCCTTCATCAGTGTGTTTTAATATTTTGTAGACTATTAGGGAGCTCGTCAGTGAGCCATGGATTTGCGGTGATGAGATTTGGCTCAAACAACTTATAACATATTAAAATGCAAATTGCCTTCTGGACAC